AAATTTGCAAAGAGTATGAAAAAAAAAAACAAAACCCCCAAAACCCCAAATCAAAACAAACCAGATGTCTAAGATGATAGTTTCTTGGTGTTACTTTTATTTTTTCCTGGGCCTCAAATGCCACCCTTGAAAACTGCAAGACTACATAACATAACTGGAGGGTAACACTGCCTTTTTGATTCAGAAACATGAAACTTGTGTGTCATTCTAAAAAACGAACAAAATCCCAAAGTTAAATAGAAACTACCAATTTAAAAAATTCTTACCTGGAAGACTTGACTTGTTTGATACTACCCCTTCAACCCGTTCCTCTTTCTCATCACAGGGATCCTCTTCATCAGACAGTACTAAGAAAGCCTCTTTTGGCAGACTTTCATTGCTTTCCTGCTTGGATGGTGAACCCAAACAGTTGTCTATTTTCTCTTCTAAATCTGGGGCTGTGTCATCCACTGGAAGCAGAGAACTTTTAGAAAAACAGCTCAGATCATCTTCAGCAGGGGCTAGTTTTTCCAAAATTGGAATAATTTCATCTGTTTCCATAGAGTCAGTATTGTCCAAGATACTTTGACTTGGCTCATCTAATGTCTTCGGAACAGCGGTTTCTGAAAGACCTGCACTGCCCTCTTGTTTTTCCTGGTCAGCTTCCATACTGCTAGAGATGGCTGCTTCTCCAACAGCCTCTTCAATAGTAACTACTTCAGTCCTCTTTTCCCCACTAGATGAACTGGAATTAACAGTTATATTATTTGTTTCTCCCTTTTCTTCAGAAGAGTCAGTAATATCATCGACTGATTTACTTTCAGCTTCCAATGGGATGTCACTCTTTCTTTGGTCCAAATGATCTTTTGTATTATTTTGTTCATGGAAGTTGTCTTTATTGCTACCAAGCTCTCCATTTTCTGCCTCACAAGCTACTGCAGTAATAGTATCTTTATCTTGCTCAGGAGTAGTATTTTCTGGAGACAGCGTTAGAGGTTTGGATTCTATGTCACTGACTGTGTTTCCTGTCCTACTTTCAGGGCTTTTGGCCTCACTAATTTCATCAGAAGCTGTTCTTTCTTCTTCAGAGTTAACACACAAGTCAACTATGCCATTAACTTCCTTCTTGTCCTCCATACAGTCTGAATTGCTTAAAGGGGAATTTAAATCAGAATCTCCATTCTCATGTTTTCCATTTAACAGTTTCACTTCAGTTGTCTTCAACAGCTCCTCTTTAACCTTATAGACAGCTTCGAGTTGTTGTCGATCACTTACTCTCATTGTTTTTCGTGCTTTAAAGACTTTTTTCTGAGGTTCATCTGTGCTATCCATCTTGACCCTTAAAAAAAGGTTCAGAAAGAATTGTGAAGGTAAAAATTTATCATCATTATCTTAGTACTACTCCTGTAGCACTTAGCACATTTTAAAGTAACCAGTTTAACTGTATCAACAAAAACAAAGAAACAACTGTCAACACAATTAAAACACTACCTGACCTCACAAAAAGTGAATACAAGTTTCTGTAAATGTTGCACAAATGCCTGTATGCAAAGATCACAGAAATCACACATTAGGCAGCAGTAGTCTGACTACACATTTTAGACTAGATGTCTCAGATACTGTACTAAGGCAAGAGTCAGCAGCCTTTCTTCTCATAAAAAAGTAAAAATAAATATAAACTGATGGACCAGGAATATTTTTATCTTTCTAAAAATATGTAATTTCATGAGTTTCAAATAGAATTAACAACTGGGGTAAATGACAGGATTTTTATATCAAGTTACTTTAAAAAAAACTTCATTATATAGAAAGAATTTCTGAACGTTTCATTAAGATACTTTCTTTTGTGTAGATAAAACACACTTTCATCTTCCCTATCTATACAATGGTTAACTGAACTTGGGTTTTTAAAGCATTTTCATTCAATTTGCAATAATATTTTACTATGACTATTTTTGGCCATAAAAACTACAGGTGTTGCAGCACCTTACAGAAAAATTTCCTCTTTCAAGGAAAATGGGTGGTTTTGCCCTCTATACAATTATATTCACTCCATTCACCCACACAAATATTAAGAAAAACAAGAACTTTTATTAAAAAAATTAAGAAAAATGATAGAAAATCTACTTTATCAAATCGATAAATGGAGATAAAATCAGCATTACCTAAGAATTTATAATGATTTTGTTGAAATACAAGAAAATCTTATTTAATTCGTTTCCATTAAACAAAGCAAATCCACAGGGATTTTTAAAATAGTTTTCCCCCACGTGGTCTTGCTTTAGGGCCTAGTTTTAAAGGATCATATTGCCAATATTCAGAAGCAGAAAGCAGTTAAGGAAGTTGTTACACACTAAATGTAACTCAAGAACTAAAACTGTGATTCAGCTGATGTTAACCAATTTGGGTCTACAAACCATCATAAGTCACTCCTGTCTAGGATACAGCTTTTATTAAGTTTCTCAAAAACATGCAAAAATTAACTTGGATAACAGTAGTTAAAAGACAGAGCAAGTAGAAAAAAAAAAATCAGGCAATTATCTCTATATGATTTTTTTTGCCCACAAGCACTGGATAGGCAATGTTTATAACACTGATACAACAGAATTATTAGACAAATGATGCATTTTAAGTATTTAGGATGATTCATTTTGCATCATCCCTTAATTCACTTTCATTCACAGAGCTGAGAAATTAATTAATAAACTGCATTTTGTCTTTTCAGGTGCAATATAAATTATTTTTAAAATTTTATTGATAAAAGAAAGCAGGACTACTGAGAACATTAGCTCAAATCGATGGCTTTGTGCAATCACAAGTTCAAGAGCGTTTGGACAACCCCCTCAGGCACATGGAGTGATTCTTGGGGTTGTCCCACGCAGGGTCAGGAGCTGGACTCAATCCTTGTGGTCCCTTCCAACTCAGGCTATTCTACAATTTTATGAACCAAGTCACAAAATTCAGAAAACAGATTCCACAGCCTCTAAGTAACAATTTGGCTCCACCCCATTTTGCAACCAACTTTTCCTCCAAGTTTTATTTAGGCAGTCCTAAGAGTGCCCTTTAGCCTTCTCTTGAGCGATTAAAGATGTCAAGCTCTCTCAGCATCTCATTGTAGGTCACACGCTTAAGCTCCTACCATTTTGGTCTGCTGGATTTTTCCTAGTTTACTTGGAACAGTTTGCTTATGAAGAAAATTACTTAACATTTATCCTCAACTCCAATATTCTACATTGTAAGATAAGAATATATATTCTAAGGTACAATATGAATTCAACTACCAAGACAAACTCTAAACCCCACAATCATGAGGTGCCATATTTACAATCATAAGGCTTCTTTTACGCTTAGTTAACATGACCTGACAAAACCAGGGACAAAGCAGAAAGCAACTTTTTGCACTTCCTATTAACGCAACATTGAGCTTCCCTTCCACTTTATTACAGTTCTTTTCTGCAAGACAGTCTGGAATTTTTGTATTTGAGTTACTGATAGTACTTAAACAACACTCGGACACTCGCATTCAGGAACAGATCACAGAATCACAGAATATGCTGAGGTGGAAGGGACCTACAGGGATCATCGAGTCCAACTCTTAGCCCCACACAGGACCGTCCCCAAGAGTCACATCATGTGCCTGAAAGCATTGTCCAAATGCTTCTTGAACTCTGCCAGGCTTGGTGCTGGGACTGCTTCCCTGTTCCAATGCCCAACCACTCTCCGGGTGAAGAACTTTCTTCTAATCTCCAACCTAAATCTCTTGACAAAATGTTGTATCAGCTCTACTTATAGACTCTCAATAATACCATTAAGATATACATTTTTGCCAGTCTTAACTAGATTTTCTGAACCAGATTGTCTATTAGTGCATGGCCACTACTGGGAGCAAAACATAACATCTATAGAAACACTGATCTGAAACATCAGTTTACTTGTTCTTGGAAAACGTTCTCATCACATAGCCATTTTCAGTCAGATGAAATATGAAATCCAGGTAAGCTGTTAATGCCTTTCCAGAGCTGCCTGCATGCTAAATACAGTTTCTTCATGTTTCTTCAGAAGAGAACATATTTAACACAGGAATTCTAGACCTGAAGTTACAAAACGCATGTAAAAACCTCTAGTACTTCTGAAGTGCGCGTGCAGTTTTTGAAAGCACATCCCTTCCGTCTTCCCAAAAACTCAGCATGTAAGGCACATTTTTTCACATCGTTATAAAAGCATATGTCATACCATCATGTAATAGAATACCGACAATCATACTCATGTTCCATGCATATAATCCCCTACAACCAACATGTATGCTGTTACAGATTTTTATCATGTAAAGCCAATTTGGAAAAAAAAATAGAAAATGCCAGGTTTGGCTAGCCTTGAATAATTCCAAGGCTCCTAATAGGTGACTCATGAGTGAGAGTCTATTGTTAGTACAGTACAAGAATATAGGGCCTTTGCATCAAAATTACAACAGGCAAATAGTTTAATCTCCCAGACTACAATGCTTCCTTTTACAGGCATTACAAGAATTTACAAAACATATCACAGTATTCATATTCTTACTTTTCCTATCACCAAAAGATATACTAACAGATTAATATAACATTTACAAACAACTTAAAATCAGATTTATAAGTGCATCACTTTATAATCAAAAAATATAACTTAAAAGAAAATAATATTTTCTGTTCTAATTTCCTTAACTACCTAAGCAGTTTTTCACTCGTATTTTTAACATAAGCGTAAATACAGAGAAAATGAAAGACACTTCATCTTAAATTTACCAAGAACAGCAGTCTTAAAAAATCAAACATCAGAATACCTTTATATTGATGCATCCTTATTTTTTCTTAAAAAATACAGAAAAAAACAGCTTAAATTTCTAATATGTTTAAAAATTATGTTTATTTTTTATCTTAGGAAATTATTCAAAATCTAGTTAAAAATAAAGCTCTTCTACAGTTGTAGAAAGAACCTGCAAGAAAAACAGGCTTCTCAAAATTCCATTGTTAGATGGTTATTTGAGTAACTCATGCATATTTTCAGCTCAATCCCACAATCTTTTGCAACTAAAGAGTATTCAATAAAAGCTACTAAAAAATATTCAATAAAAGCTACCCTCAGTGACAAAATTACAAGCACAGATGAGATGAACTAGCGTTTAGTGCTCATCTTTTAACAGCGAAATATCACGTAGCACAGCAGAGCAGCCTTGAAGTGTTTCCAGCCATACCCACAAGGGAGCACAGTGCAGCCAAGGAACAGATCTCATGTGAGAGCTGAGTAAAAGAAACAAATCAATCGGTAACCAGTCCAGATAGGTTTGGTCACACCTGTGCAAGCCAATCAGGTGCCATCTGATAAACACTGCCTTCCAGCCTCTCAAAGGGGCAAGGAGGCAGCCCTTCAGAGAGCAATGCCAGGGCAAAGCTACCTTGCAGAAATAAAACATTTTAAATTACTAGTGTTCTAAATGAATGTATTTTGGTAGTCTCCCTTAATACTTAACATTAACAAACTTAAGCTACTTTTGCTCATCTGATGCTTGGGTGTTTTCTCTTTTTTTACTCATCATGTGACCAAGTCACAAGGAGGAAATGAGTGGCCCAGGCACCAAGCCAATGGAGGGGCATGTTTTATTTCAATTAAAGGCATTTGTACAGAACAGCACGAAATGACTCCTGCATGTAGAGCTACATGTATAAGGGTTAAAAGCTGTAAATAAGGTGGTAGGTTTTGGGCTGATTTTTTTGTTACGATTTTTTAAACTCAAGACTCAATTTTGGAGTATCAACATGCATATATTTTCTATATTTTTTTTGTTTAGATATGAAAATTCCCTTTTTCATTTTAGGCTTGAAAGTCATATACACTTCAGCATGTGAGACACAAACACAGCATTAGGCACCTCCCTCCAATACTTGAAAATTTCCTTCTCATGATGAAATGTGTGCTGCATGGCACAAAATGCTACATGGCTGCCAGTGCAGCTAGGAATATGGGGAGATCTCTTCTCTAAGCCAGTTAAAAAGCCTTCCCTCTATTTCCTTATTTTTTAAATTATTATTATTCTGCAGACAGATCGCAGCTCTAAAGTAACAAAGGAAGGTATCAGATGCTCTGGATCAGCCTATGATCATGTGCTCAGGTAAGCAGCCCATGAGCTGCTCCAAACGTTAAGCCAATCAGCAAGGAGCTGCCTGAATCCTGCCTAGTAACAGGCAGCAGACAAAAGGAAGGTCATGGAAACACGGGGGGTGGGAGAAGCTGCAATCTAAACAATAATGCACAATGGGGTTTGCATAATATCATGGGTCTAGAACAGCACAGGTACAGGGTTCCTGGGGGGCTTGCAGAGCTGGCCAAAAGCACGGCAACCATAAAACGTTTGCCAAAGCACAAGAACTACATGGATGAAGGAAAGTTCACTGATCATGAACATCAGTGCTCAAATGCACAAATCTACTTAAAATCTATTTAAAATATGGCATAGCCAAATCAAGGAAAGTGAGGCAGCAAATGGTCATGAGTATTTTGTTCTAGGTGGAGAGCTTCAGAGAATGAAAGCGGTGAATAGAACCTACCTTTTAAGTTATGGTTCATAAAAAGCAGTTTTCAGTTGAATTCCTCCACACCGTTGATATAAGTTTTCAGAAATTTAAAAATTATTTTCAAAGAAAAAAAATACTGTTTGTGACCTATTCTTACAGAACATGTGCTGAAATAACATGCCAATAATTTGTTTTTCTACCACTAATACAAGTCAACTGATCTAACTGAACGGAAGACAAACCACCAGCCTAATGATCTCCATTTACAACTATGCCTTTGCTTTTAAACCTAATAAAGAAAGCAGAGGCCATGATTATCGTATGTGCAGATAATATTTCTTCCAGCACACCACAAGTGATTTGAGTTTTCCTCCCTTTTAGGCTACAGTTAGTGTTGGCTGAAAGTGAAAGAAGGATGTACAGTTATCTAAGAAAAAAATTACGTCGCCATCCTGTCCTAGCTGCACGGGCAGCAAGACCAGGTGAACGGCAATTAAGCAGCCCTCTAGCTAATCTGTCCCCCCCTCCAGAGGTGCGGGGCGCGGGCGGCGCCTCCCCCTGCGGCGCAGCCCTGCAGTGCCGCCGCCGCTCCCCAGGGGGCGCCGCTACACCCCGTCGGCCGCGGCACCGCGGGGGGGACGGCCGCCAGCCCCGCTTCCCATTGGCTGAACGGAGCCGCCGCGCCGCAGCCAATCAGGCGGGAGCTCCTTAAGTTCTACCTAGCAACAAGCCCCCACGCGGCGGGCCTCGCGCGCGGGCACGGCCGCGGGGGCGCGCGTTAAGAGAACGGGATTTTCCAAACGGCCTAATGGAAAGTTAAGAGCTTTCCGTGAGACCTGGAGCTGCGCAACAGCGCTGACCCAGGAGTGCGAGGCACACGGGTGCACAGACGTAATAAAGAAGAGGTGTTTAATGCGCAAGAGCATTTTTAGGCGGTTTTAAGATCACTAAATTCTGTGATGTTGACTGTTGAATCAAAAAAACTGCCGAGATCCAACCTGGGTTTAAGTACGGCAGCTGGAAAGCTTTCTTTTCTTCAGATGCCATGCAGCACCTGTGCTTTTCTAGTATCCCAGCAGAAAATCGGTGTTTTGAGACGAGTGCAGTATGACCTTCTGCCTTGAAAGCAGAGGCCGTTCTCCCCCACCCTTGCAAACTGCCTTCTGAAGTTCAGCAAAACACTTAAGTACACGTGTGTATCTACGCCTAAGAAAAACACCCAAATCTATGGGTTAAAGGCTTCTGAAACCAGAGTAAACTCGTGGTACAGTTTCAAACAGGTTAGTCTTGTGTACTGTATGTGATGGACAACTTCATGTACAAACTTGAACTACATTCTTGTCACTGTGGCATTACTGTGAATTAAGCAGTTGGCTTGTGTCGCCTCTACCCCAAGAGAATACTACCGCCTTTGACGTTGGCTTGTGAACGTGTTTCTCAAACCAAATTTTTTACTGTAGAGCTTTTTTCCCCATGAAGCTGCAGTGCCCTGTGGGAAAACTAGATTCCTCTTGGGGGAAAAAAATGACTGTCAGGCCCATTTACACAGCTAAGACATTTCATCTGCTGATGGTTTTGCAGAATTGTCCTTATGTGTTCATCAGGTTATGCCTTGGTAACTACTACGTGTAAAACACATACTTTGGAACGTGGAAGAATGGAAAACATGGAGAGTCCTTCCTAGACAACTTTTACAAGCAACTCAAGTGCCTCAGAAACACCTATTCTTTAGCATGTAGACCTTAACCTGATTCTTCAAGGAGAGTTTTGTCTTTTTCCGTAAACTAAATGTTAACAGCTATTTAAACTAGTAAAACTGCTTGTCTGGAACTCAGCAACAGGGCTGTGATAATGTGTTCTCTTACTTCCCACAAGTGTTAGAGACTTCAACTTTTTATCAACAAGTCAAAACATTAGCTTTCAATTCAACTGTGAGATCTCCAAACACTAAACAAGTACTGCTGTTTAAAATAGCAGTAACAGCAAAATTCAGCTTTCTTATAGACTGATTTTTTTTCAGCACAAGCTTAAACACTAAGTATGTTTCTTTCCATAGAAAAAAAGGATTTACTGAATATCTATGAAGTTAATTAGTGCATTTAAGATACATTTGTGGAGTACTATTATACACAGTTTCAATGTTATACTGCAGTTCCAGCTTTGGCATAGGATTAGCAGTCACTGTTATCCTTAAATAGGAGTAGGACCTAAAAATTCCATAGAAGTGGACACTAACTGCCAGAACACATCTACAATAAAAAACTTAACCCAGCTTCTGATATTCCAAACATAAGACGTGAACAACTTGCATTGTTCATGCACACGAAGACCAAAAAATACAAGAAACTCTGTGAAACAAAAATCTCAAAAAAGCAAGGCAAGATGTTCTGTTCATGCTTAAGCTTTTCCAGGCATTATAAAATACAGTATTTTTTCCTTTTATAAGGAAATAATTTATAATTTATAAATTCAAAATTTATAATTTCAAGTGAAAATTCAACAGGCTACAGCTTTGAGAAGGTATCACTAACGTGTACAGATCTGCATCCTTTTGAGGTAGATTTCTTTACAAGTCTTCTGTTAGATAAAATGCAGGATTATTGTAATGAAAAAATTGATATATTTACCGCAATAGTCCGTATTTTCTAGACTCGTTCCTGTATCACTTATACAACTAGCTGTAGCAGTGTAACCTTGGTTTTCCAACACTGGCAGCTTGGTGACATTGCAATTCAGATGTGAGCTGCCTGATGCTGACAGTGGTCCCCTGAGGTCACTTCTCAAATGCCAGGAGAAAGAGAAGTGAGAACTCACAACAAAAAAAGGAGATGCTGTATTAAAACGTTACTGTTCGGCACGCATACAAGCGCCTTTCATGAATTTTTTTTTTGCACATTACATTTTCTCAGTAACAATATAGAAAGTTTAAAATGGAACAAAACCAGCAGTTGGGAGTTGGCTGTGGGAAGGGTTATCAGTATTTCCCCCGGGGAAGGCACCGTTCCTCAGGAGGGGCTCTGCACCTACTGCCTCACCTGCTCCAGACCTGCCCCTCACAAGCGCAGCACCCGGGGCTGGAGGGGGCACATCATTTCATAAACTCATCCAACTGAAGCCTGATGGGGACTCTCAGATTCTGGGGAGCAGGGAAGCTATTTGCCCATTTCTCACATGAAAGGATGAGTTTTCTTTCAGTGGGAGCCTGAGAGAGGCCAGGACACCGCCCCGGCAGCCATCTTATTCCCACACCAGCTCCCTGCCCGATGGCGGGGGACTGCCGGAGATTTGCATACCCGCTCGGGATTGGCTGTGGGAGAGCTGTTTTCCATAAACCAAATCTGCCCGGCAACAGGCTAAAAATAGCCGGGGCTGCTGCCGGGAGCGGGAGCAGCTCGGCCCACACGAGGGGCCAAGACACGCACAGCCTTCCTGTCGTGGCGCTATGGGCGGGCACGGCACGCTGCACTTCCTCAGGGATTTTTTTTTTTTTAAATGTTTTCGTGGGGTTTTTTTAAATGCCAAAAATAATTTCTGAAGTAATTCTCTCTTCAAATCAAAACATGAACTATTATAATTTGCACATTGTCTTTTTTCTCACTTTCATTTCTAAGCAAGCAGGAACAGAAGCCATCTTTCTTACTCTGTTTAATACCCCATGTCAGTTTGGTGAGATGGCACTGGGGTAATCCACAACATCTGCAACAGATATCACCTAATCCTCACTACATATAGACTGTTACAGAGGCTGCTTCTTGGCTCCCGAGTGACCCTTTGGTACCTCACACCTCACCAGACACCCCCTCCATACAATTTCTCTACTGAAACTAAACACGGGGGATTTCGAAAGGTGAGCATGATGAACCAAGAAAAAAAATTCCGTAAGTACATAAGGCATCTTGAGACTAAAAATTAAATGTAAAATGAGGTAAGTAAAGCACAAAATTTCAAAGTTATTATGTAAATACATGTTCTGTGATAACTCCCGCAATGATTTACATGAAGAGTATTGTAACATTTAAGCCTACAAAACAGGTATCATTTACACAAGTTTGATTTTCAGTAGTACTGAACTGACAGCATAAACTCTTCTGACTGCAGCAGAAGCAAGTAAATAGATTTCCACACTTTTCACCACATCCACTCCCAGGTTTCTGTTTCATGGAACTGTGTTAAAGGCAGGTGAAAGCCAACACTGTAAGATGAATGGAGCACCCAGTGCACACAGGACATGTACAGCCACCTAATACAAGTCTTCAGCATCCTGGAAAGTGCCATCTTAAATGTAAGCTGTATATAAGCACCTTTGGTATGAAAAAATGCATTTTCTACAACGCTGTCAAAATTGACTAAGAAGAGAAGGAAGAAAAGTGGCCAAAGAAGATGGTCAGTGACCACTGATGAGACTTGATATCTTTTGAACGACTCCAGAAAAAAAAAAATCACAAAAATTAACCAGAAATCCTAACGGGAAAGTTAAAGTGAAGTAAAACAAATATTTGTATATAATAAAGCTTCAAAATAAAATTAGAAAAAAGCCCTAAACCACCACCAAACAAACCAAAACCCACAAAAGAGTTTCTTCTAAAAGCTAGTTTACCCAAACTTTATTACCTGTACCTAGTGTTAGGACTATTTGTCACACGTATTCTTTATGGAAAGGTAGCTTACTCCATAGATGTTGGCTTGCTACCTAACAAATTTTACTAGCAACTCTGCCATGTACCACAAGACATTTATTCATTAATCAGAGCCTAAATATCTTCCAAAAGCAACTAATGGTGTGGAATAATGGGAACTAAAAAAAACCCTGCCAACCTAATATTCTATTCATTACTACATAGAAAAAAAGAAAAAAAAATCAAAAAGCATGTTTTCAGTGCTGGTAAATCACTGCATTAATATGCTAAGGACCCTAGACAATGAAGGTAATCTATGTTTTTACAATGATAAACAGTCACTCTCTAATAAAATTCCACGGCAGTCAATTTCTTACTATATCAAGCATTCAATAATAGAGTAAGATTTATTTACCCTAGTAGAAGGGTACAGTGACAGATCAAATTCTCTTGAGTCAATGGGTGGACAATTATTTTTCTGTATTTGCTGCTAGGCAAAGATTTGTCATATCTCAAACTTGCAAGAAAAATTACTCATAGTGTCACCCAAATTGCAATTGAAATGTTTCATAGTCAAACACTAAGCAACCATAGCAGAGATGACTCTTCAACTTATTCATGATTAGAACAAGCTCTGCAGACACAGATATCCAGACTTAATTCTTTGCTAAGCTGCCTAAGGAACAGGAAGCAGAAAGCGCACAAACCCAAGATGATTTCTTTATAGAGTTCTAATCATGGAAATAAGTGAATAGAACTAGTAAGAATAAATTTTGAAATAATGTTACACTAGTTTAAGTGGCAAAGTTTTACTGATCTGCATCAGCAACACCTTAAGCAGCAAAGCACGATATGCCCTGTTAATTTCTGAGGTGCTGACTTACACCTAAGGCTAATGTACTTGTCAACTCATATACTCTGGGAAACAAAAATATTGGAACAAAAGCAAAGGAGGACGACATTAATGTCCTGAAAGT